CTTGTATTCATACAGATATTGCCTAAACTTTACTCCATACCTTCTACGGGTATATAAAATCTCCAGCAAATTTAGACTTGACCTAGAAATAATTCAATAAAAAAAAAAAAAGAAGAAAAAGCATAAATTCGTATATATGGCGCATAATTATTCTACATAGTAAAGGCAGAGAGAGAGAGAGAGAGAGTATACATTGATCAATCTCCTATTATTTGGTGTTTCTTACTTTTCATGTTCAGTTTAGTCAATAAATACGGTTTTTACGCATGCTTACAGTGACCACATTTCTTCATTTGCTAGAATGACAACTCAATACATACGCTACCTAGATTATGATACAAATACGTATAAGAATGATAGTATCAAGATAATGGCCAGATTCACCAAATTGAAAAATATGATTCTTATTTAAAATGACATTAGGGGTGCGTTTGGTTCGGAGAATGTTTTATTGTTGAAAAGATACGATTACCTCTAAGATAGATTATCCTTAGGGGGCGTTTGGTTCAGGAATGTTAGATTACTGAGAATGTTGGATTACTGGAAAAATAGATTACCCTAGAAGATTACTGGGAATCTTTAGAAAAATGTGTTTAGTTAGTTGGTGGGTATATTATATTAATATGTTTGGTTATGGGGAATAAATTGGTGGGTATGTTATTTAAATTACTAAATTGTCCCCTTTTCAAATATTAATATAATATTATTTTTGTTATTAATTTTTTAATAATTTTTTTTAACCCCCAATATTTCAGATTTAGTTAAAACACCCCCGCTTATATAAAACTTTAATTTATTACGAAATCACCCCTACCTCCTGTCGCCGCTGCCGCCACCGCAAACCACCGTCGAAAGTCTTCGAAAGTCCCCTTTAGTAGCTTACCGTGACCACGAGGCTCTAATAGGGCCGTTTCTGGCCATATTAATGGCCGAAAACGGTCATATTAGGCCAAATCTGGCCGTTAATGGCCATATCCCTAGCCATTATCGGCCAGATCTATTCCGGCCAGAATAGATATGGTCGTTGACGGCCATGTCCGTGGTTGTTAACGGCCAGATTTGGCTTGATATAGCTATTTTCGGCCATCAATATGGCCAGAAACGGTCATATCGAAGCCTCTCACCGAATCTCATTCTTTTTTAGGGACTCTGGCGACTTTTCGGCTGCGGTCTGTGGTGGTTGGCCCGCTGTCAACGGTGGTGGCTGGGTGGCAATGGTGGTGGTAGCTGGGTGGTAGTGGTGGTCTGTAAATTGTTTTAAATATAAGGACATTATTGTCCAAAATTTTAATTAAACAAGGGTAAAATTGAAATAGGATATTAATGTAAATTTATTTCAAAATGAGGGCATTATTGTCCAAAACTTTTATTAATAAAGGATAAAATTGTAACAAAAAAAGATAACTCTGGTAATCTTAGAATACCTAAGAAAATGGAGGTAATTTGATTACCTCCAATATTACCAATAGTAACTACTGTTGGTATTTAAAGATTATCGAAATCTTATATTACTTGACAACCAAACGTGGTAATTAAGTAATATAAGATGACATAACCCCCATTATCTCACATTACCGCCAACCAAACGCCCCCTAAGATTACGAGGGAATGTTTTACCAATATGTTTGGTTAGATTAGTGGGTATAAATGTTTGATTGGGAAGAATAAAATATTATCGATAAAGGCTTTTACTGAATTGTCCTTCCTTTTTAATATCATCAAAACGGGGCACGACTAACGAGATTAGGCTAGTCATGCACCGTTTTGGTTGTTTTCGGCTAGATCAGAGGCCGAAAACAACTTGATCACTGTGGATATGGCTGAAAATGGCCGGATCCACGATGATTTGGTTGTTTCCAGCCAGATCCACACTGATCTAGCTGTTTCCAACCAGATCGAAGGCCGAAAACAACCAGATTGCCATGGATCTGGTCAAAAACGACCACAAATGGTTGATCTATTCTGGCTGTTTTCGACCAGATCCATGGAGATTTGGCTGGAAACAGCCAGATCTATACACGGCCGGCTAGATCTCGCCAATCGTGCGTCAATATGGAGACTATTGTCGGTGACTGACAATGGTGGCTGGTGGCCGACGGCTGGCGATGGTCTTTGGTGGTTGGGGTATTTTGTTAACTTTTAAACTTTTTGTGGTTGAGGTGTTTTAGCTAAATTCTAAAATGTAGGGGGTCTGGGTTATTATTATTTGGTAGACATTTGAGGGTAATTGTGTCTAGAATAGTATTTAATTAAGGGCAAAATGGATATAAAATTAAGATTACCCCGGTAATCTTTAAATACCACCCCTTGAGGAGGTAATTTGATTACCCCCTATATAACCCACATTAATCACTATTGGTATTGTAAGATTACTGTAATATTTTATTACTTGACAACCAAACAAGAGAATGTTCGGAATTAAAGACAGATTATTAGAGTTATCTTTCCAGAGCCCTAGCCAAATACACCCTAGATGTTATGGTGGAATAGAAGTAGATATTTTGTGGATCTATGTTTGATTAAGTTTTGAAAAATGGTTGTGTGGAAGGAATAGGATCTCGCCAAATTGACTTTACTCTACAAAATAAAATTTATGATAATGTAATGGGAAAATTTTATGTGAAAGAGAGAAGGCGGGCATGAAAACTTTTCCGGAATTTATTAAGAAGGGAGTTGCCCATTCTTGGTTAAACGTGGGGAACCGAGACAATAATGAATCTATATCAACAATCATTAAGCACAGCCCCACCATTAGTTGGGATTCAGCTCACCCACTTGCTTCTCGTCCCAAACCTTAAACATTCATTTTATTATTTACATCCCAACAAATTAATTGAGTTTATATTCCTTAAGGGACCACTCTTTTCTTTCACTTGTCAGCCTCTGAGCTCACTATACTACTACATATACATTTTACTTTAACATTAGTTTATAGTTTTATGATTTGTGTGCTTTAAGTAGTAATTTAGATGATAATCTCATCCCATTACATTCACCTAAGTATTAATTAAAGTTAGAGATGTTATGTACAATCTCCCACCTTTTAATTATTCACTTTATATACAAAAATTGATGGGTAATAATAAAACATAATTGAAATTAACGAACACCAATATGACTTGTAATAGGATGCCAATTGCCAAATAAGTGTAATGGTGGGACAAGATGACACTTGGATAACGTTTGAGACTTTTGCTTCACTTCTGTACTTGTAATTTCAACCAAACCAATTTAAATATATTATCTTATCTGACCCAGCTTTTATTCATTCTTTACCATCAAGTCCCTAACCCTAGGCGACGAACCGGCTGGGAATAAAGTTATCTTAACTCATCGGCATGCACCATCACTAAACAATTTTGTAAATGTCGCATTCACAGCAAATTAAATAAAGAAAGAGAGAAAGTTATAAATAAAAAATAAAAAATGGGCCCATTAATTAACAGGTGGGGTCCAAACGGGATAACGGGATGGGGCCCATTTAGACAACCAGCCTGCAATCAAATTTGTGAGCCTAATGATCATGGGCTAGCCCACGCCGGACCGTTAGCCACCACGTACTCAGTTCCATTTCCAAAACATCATTCCGTTTTTGTGGACCCCACTCTCCACCACCACAGCCCACACACAAATAGACCTCCAAAATATCGGCTTATGGCTTAGCTTAGCCGACTAAGCCTAACTGATTTGAGTTTTTTTTTTTTTTTTTTTGTTTTTAAGTAATTTATCGTATGTATTTGGAGAAGAGTCACCGTCTTGTTATTTGAGTCGGTTTGTGGGGTCAAGCTCTTCAAAAGATAAAAAAAAATTACAAATTGTAGACTGACCAACCAGAACCCGCGTGCAATTGCTGGTAAGGACTTTGAGTGTATTTATTACCTCAAATGCCACCAAACCTTAAACTTAAAAAACCTTTTTTTCATTAAAATATTTGCACTTTTCAAACAAATTGTACTATTTTTTTTTTTTTTTATTATTAGGCTCCAGCTTTGTTGCTCACCACACAACTTGGGTCTCTTAACATTTTCTTAATCGGGCTTGTTATGGATCCCGAAAGGACACTGTAAGTAATTACATGATTTAATATTAGTTTTGTGTATGCTAAATAATTTATATATAAATAGTTACAAAATATTAGTTAAATATAAATATTTGAAAGAGCTTCTTAAACTTCACCCATATGCATTGTTTATTAGTAAATCAGCCATTGGATAGTTAGACATTTAGCTTTGTCACAGAGAAATTGCAGGTGGGTGGTGTTACGTTTGTGCTGCTATGTTGACCTCAAAGAGATGAGATATATATGAATTTAACTGTAAACTTTGGTATATATAAATTTTGAAGATTAATGGTTGCTGAAATCATGACACTTTAAAGATTATAAGATTAAGGTGCACGTTAAAGGAAAGCAAAACAGGAGAAGATCGATCTAGAGAATGAGAGGTAAAAGGGTTGCCCGTATTAATTGTATGCTTCTCTATTATAGAAAAGGATTTGTTATTATTAATCTAATCGTGTACATCACGCGGTATAACTTTTGGCTGGGGGGTGAAGAATGTTGTTCACCACCAAAATATCATCCTTTCATCATATAAATTTCCTTCTTAATTATCAAACATTTAAACAAATACTTTTTTTACACTTTTTGAAACCCTTTTAAGACGCCCAAGTAATACCAACCGTCCGATCTCTGACATCATCAAATCTCAGTCTAATAAACATTCTCTTTCTTAGAGTCTCAATCAGTAGCTGGTGGGTGGAAGCAAGAGATAGAAGAGGTTGCAGCCTCTAAAACATTTTCTTGTTATCAATATCAATATCAATATCAATATCAATATCAATCTTGCGTGATGCATTGTCCCCGTCCTTTATTCGCGCAAAGCTTTTGCAGCAATCAAGCTTCCACTTAAAATTAAGATTAAAAGAGAATATTGAGAGAGAAGAGTATATTATTAGGGCATGTGTGTTCTCTAATTTCTACTGTATTCATTCTTCTTATTTAACCCTATCTCTTCTCTCTTTTCCCATTCCTCAATCTTACCTTTCTTTTCTTTTCCATCCTCGGGATCTGATCTCTTTCTCTCGACAACTACTAGACACTTCTTGAGAGAACACCACTTCAATTCCCGAGGATAACTTTTCATACCCAGTTTTGTTTCTTCTTCTCTCAATCTTTCATTTCTCGAGCTTTTCTGTCTGCTTATAATAGAACTTAAAAAGAGAGAGGCCAAAAGCAAAAGTTTCTTATCTTTAAGCTCATTTATAGCTAGCTGCTTAAAGGCTGGGTTTAATCAGATCTGAGCAGGAATTGTCAAGGTTGTGTTATCGTGAGCTTCTCCTCCTTCATAATCATCATCTTCTTCTTCTTTTCTTCTCTCTTAAGGTCTGCTTATTCCAATTTACATGTCTTAATTTTGTGATTTTTTTTTTTTTTTTTTTTTTAATTTTTCTTTTGAACGAATAGCCATTAGGTTAATGCATTGAGATACGGGATGCTTTTGTTATAAGCTAAGCAAAGATATTAAGCTAATACAACATATATTTGACGTTCATCACTACTTGAGTTTAAAAGATTAATGGAGTGTTGAGTTTGATCTGAACAATTTAATTCCCGATTGAATCATTCCATACATTTTCTAATGCTTATTTCATGTACACTATGGCAACTACTAATATTTAATGATATTCCATGTTGGGAATTAATTTATATAACTCTTTTTCATGTTTTTTTACTTTTCATTTTCCGGTTACATCTCTACAACTCCGATTCTTCTGTGCACCGTAGTTGGATTTATGATCTTTCATGACAAACAAATAAGAAGAATATGTTTCTCTGTCACACGTTATTCTTTTTGCAATAGTTACACAGATCTTTCACTTTTTATGAACTTGCTGCTATAGGAATTATGTGATAATTAATAATGGTATGAAGGACGTGATTGAGTTAGTGTGCTCCAAATAATTTTAAAAGATTTGCAAATCCATTAAAAAGATTACACATGACATGAATATTCATTAATTGTCTATGCTTTCATGATGTACATTATCCATTTCTTCGGATTGTTTTTCAATGCGTTACAGGAAAGTTGTATAAAGTATTAGAGAGTTGAATCAACAATGAGAAATTGTAAGGTGTCATTTTATTAATGATATACTACAGTGTTACATATTGTCATTTTCTGAATTCTTACTACTTCCCTTTATGCATGTTTCACAAAGCAAATCTATTGAATTTTTGATTCTTTACACCTACCCAACACTCACTTTATGAGTGGAGAAAACCCTTTTTTTGTTTTACTAGTTAATCCTCTTTCATCCTAATTATGTCTGTTGAATTAAGTAAAAGTAAATCTTAGTTTTGTCTTGTTTATTAAATCGTTTTATGATATTATCTTCCATGCATGTAGGGCAATCATATATAAACATCCATAAGTATATAAAGCCATGGTTTCATGTGAGTTGATGAAATGGTTTCTTTTAATTCTTTCTAATTTATTTTTTACTATGTATGATTAAATTTTCTTCACTTTTTAGTTATCTATACTAATCAAGATTAGCATTCCAAAAATTTGACTGATTTTAGCATTGACCTGTACAAATTTTTTTTTCTTCGCAAATTTATTTTAACACAGTTAATTCTCATGGCCGACATACCTTTTTTAAATCCTCAACCCTACTTGATCAATTTAGATTTTAGCCAAGTACTGTCCTTCAATTGTTTTGTATTTCAGAGCCTATTAAAGCAAATATTACATATGTAATTCTTCTTTAACTGTTGTTGTTCTTGGAATTGTATTACAGTATGTACATATTCTCCCTCTAACATCTGCTAGGTCAAACAGAGTAATCGTACATTGATGGTATTAACTTATAAACTGGATTAAAAAAGATGGATTCAGACTAGTGTATAGAAAGCAGGCAGTTATATATACTTGAACTGACTGCGTATTATTTCTCATTCAGCTGAAACATATGCTATATGTACTTTGCATATATAAGCTGTATGAAATTACATGATAAACTACGAAATTTAGAGGATTGTTACGCTGGAAGACTATGTTTAAATGATCATTATTGTTCAATTGTTACGTTTATGTATATGTATATATATTTGGTTCAGAATAAATTTGCACCATTTCTGTTGGCTGTGTCGTAAAACATAAGATTTATTTATGTTATCGATATAAATTATACATATGATGCTTTCAATTTCTGGTCAGTGCAACTTACATCTCGAAGATTAAATTTGAAACTTGAATAACGAAACTTAACATAGATTTTTTATACTTATTTTATATTTTAGAGACCTTATTCGGTTTATTTGAACATATCTTGTTTAAGATCTCCTAATCGATAGAAGTGGTTAACAAATATAATATCATCATTCCATGAGAATCCCAATTCTGAATTATGCATGCCTGCATCCTTTACGTATACTTTTTATTTTCTCGAACAACTTTGAGTAAGGCCAAGGGTTGCCAATAAATATAGTTACCCTGTGATATATATAGCATAAGTTGATAACAGTATTATTATTTCTTTTTTCTTAACTATTTCTATTTTGATGATAAGTGTGCCATCTAAATGCAGGTCTTTAGCCCTGTGAAAATATGAATTCATTTTCACATGTTCCTCCAGGCTTCAGATTCCATCCCACAGACGAAGAACTCGTTGATTACTACCTAAGGAAAAAAGTTGCTTCTAAAAGGATCGATCTAGATGTCATCAAAGATGTTGATCTTTACAAAATTGAGCCATGGGATCTTCAAGGTAGCCTATTCCTTTTTTCCCTAGCCAAAAACACGTCAGAATTTCGAAGAAAGTTAAAAAAATGCATATATGTTCAATTAACATTGATTGTTTTGTGTATTTTCTAGAATTGTGCAAAATAGGAACAGAAGAGCAGAATGAATGGTATTTCTTTAGCCATAAAGATAAGAAGTATCCAACTGGAACTCGCACTAATAGAGCTACAAAAGCAGGATTTTGGAAAGCCACAGGAAGGGACAAGGCCATATACTCCAGGCATAGCTTGATCGGCATGAGAAAAACCTTAGTGTTTTACAAAGGTCGAGCTCCAAATGGCCAAAAGTCAGACTGGATCATGCATGAATATCGACTTGAAACTAATGAAAATGGAGCTCCTCAGGCAAGTATTAATTTTTTTCCTCTATTCGTTGATCTCGTTTACATTAATTGTGAGTTCTATCTAAACATAGACACCATTTCTGCAACGAATTAATCCTCCAGAACATAGGGAAATTTACGTATACTCCATTAGTCTCTTCGATTAGTTCCAAATTAGGCATACATATATATGCAATGCTAGTAAAACAGTAAGACACATTAGATTATTCATGGTCAACAAACAATTTTTTTTATTTTTTATTTTTTGTTAAGAGTCAAAGCTTTATCAATCAAGAAGTTTAATCACTTACGTAATAGCAGTAATGATGAGTGACTAATCAGTTTTAACTACCTGAATTGGTTTTTCATTTTGGACTTAAATATTAATGGTGGATTCTTATATGATAATTTAAGTTCTAGGTTAAATAATAATTTGACATTAAAGGAAACATCTAAAATTTGAATCCTCGTTTTGTGTGAGTGGATAGCTTAGTGCATTAATAATTTTTAGTGTAAGATACATTAACCTTGGCTAGTAGCTTATTCAAATGATGAGTGAATTTTTATCCAGGAAAATTACATAATAGATTAATAATTATGAGATTCATTATTAAAATTTCGTGTCAATGGTTAGAATTTTTCTCAGAACATATATTTAAGACGATTTTTTTTTTCCCCAAAATAAACGAGAGAATTTGTCTAATTGTTAAATATGGTCTCTCATAATGGTAGTGAAAAAAGGGTATTAAGGCAGTGGATCTGAGCAATTCCCTTCACAGATGTGGTTTTCGGAATGTCTCTTTCATCTAAAAAATGATTTAGATTCTTTCAATGATAAAATACATTCATATTTTTATTTACATTTTATTTAAGATTCAGATTTATATACAAAGTGATGTGACAAGAAATAAATGAAAGAGTGAATATAAAAATTTAAATTCGTCATATTCATTCTTCTATTCATTTCCTTTTATATCATTTTGTATTAATTTTTTTATAAAATTTCTTTATATGTCTAAGGTTATTAAAAAACATTTATATCTATTATTGTTTCCATATATTGAATAATTTTTTACCCAACCAAAAGAATTCTAAACTATTCTAATTCAGTAGAATTACGGTTTATTTTATTCATTATTCTTTTTGGGGCGCGTGGGCTTCTTTAATTTTACATGCATATATGTGTCCCTATAGAATGAGGGAGATAACTTTCATTGTTACTAAGCATTTTTCTGAATGATTTTTTCGTCCCTTCTCTTGTCTAGCATTTTTCCTTCTATTTTAGCTTTTATATTTGTATCTTTATACTTAACTTCGTCATTCAGTCAGTGCATTTCTTTGTTTGTATCTTTATGTTATGTCTAATCTTAAAACTGTTATGAACGCACCAGGAAGAAGGATGGGTTGTATGTAGGGTGTTCAAGAAGCGAATGACCACAGTGCGGAAAATGGGTGACTATGAGTCCCCGTGTTGGTACGACGACCAAGTCTCATTCATTCCAGAAATCGATTCTCCAAGGCGTATTCCTCAGCCTTATTCATCATATCATCTCCACTATCCATGCAAGCAAGAGCTTGAGTTGCAGTATAATATCTCTCATGACGCTTTCCTCCAGCTTCCTCAGTTAGAGAGTCCCAAAGTTCCACAATCAGCAGCAAGTGTAAGTTGCAACTCAGTAGTTCCATATGGTTATGATAGAAACAACAACGGAAGCACTTTGCAATCCTCAACTCTCACTCAAGAAGAACACACGCAACAATGTCATCAACAAGATTTGAACTCACTTTATAGCAACAACAATGAACCAGCGGTGGATCAAGTGACAGATTGGCGAGTACTTGACAAATTTGTCGCATCTCAGTTGAGCCATGAGGATGCTTCCAAGGAAACCAATTACTCCAGTGCTGCTGAATTTCATGTGGCTGAACAAATGAATTTACTTGCCCATGGATCCAAAAGGCCAGGGATTACTCAAGAATATGCCTCGACGTCCACCTCCAGTTGCCAAATTGATCTGTGGAAGTGATTGCAAAACATAGTAATCAGAAGATATATACTAATTCTAGGAAGTACAGTTCTACAAGAAGAGAAACTTATATATTGAGGTTGCTGTAAATAATAAACTATGATGGTATTGCTTTAGCTACTATTTGGGATACTTCTGGTGTCCTGCATATTGATGAATATTTCTAGGAAACTATAGTTAGACTTCACAAATACCAAGTACAAATAAATTAGTTTCATGCGGACGATGGCCGAGATAGTGCTGTTGGGACAGACTCGGCGGATGTTGAATTTTAAATGTATTTCGCCTTACTTCAGCTTATATAATTTGCGTTATAATATTGTAACCTTCTTTTGTTTAATTAGATCATAGATCATAAATAGCAGTAAGATTAGAAAAGGAATTCTTTTATTTTGTTTAGATTGTTTATTTATTTATTTATCATGTATTTTTTTGCCTTCCTCCTTATTTTGGACGTTCCTTAAAGATTTCCGACATCGATTTATGTTCTATGTTTTTACGATGTAATAAGACTTTTCTTCCCTTTTTTTTTTTTTTTTTTCAGTAGCGAAAGGAAAAACCTAAAAGTGTCCTTGTGAAAAAGGAAATAATAATGTGATGCTATACAAGTTGACCTAAGAATACTTTTGATAATCTTTATGTAGAGATCAAATTAACTAATGATCTTTTGTTAAAAAACAAGACCATTAGTTCTAAGATAATGATCATATTTGCTGACTACCTACGACTTTCCAGTATCAAACGCGGAACACTTACTCTTGGAAAGAAAATGCCTTTCCTCATATTGTTAATGGAAGAATACGAAGCTAATCTGTTGGTATCGATAGGCGTCCTGAGAAAAGAAGTGGATTTTCTCATAGGCGGAGGATGGAATAGAACCCGACCGAAGCCTATTTGGATTCAAAACGAAAAGCAAGGGAGAAACTAATACCCAAAAGGAAAGAAGGAGTTTAATGAGTCATTTAATAGGATGCAAAAACAATCGACCTTAGCAGGGATGCCACTTGATAAAACCATGAACATTAATTTTGTCACGGGAAGAAGTTTCATACGTTTATGTATGCTCTGAAGAGTGTATATGGGTTTTCACCTCGAGATTTTCCTTTTTTTAAGCTTTAAATATATCAGGCGAATAAAAATTATTCCGTACACCAACGAAATAGTTCTTCTTTCTATTTTAGCTGCAGACATATGAAACCTCAAGTTTAGCCCTTTATGTTTATTTAGTTATTGTTTGAAAAATTAGCAAGCTACAAATTTATTGTCAGCCATTTCTAATAACTGCTATAATTACACTTCCCTTGTGATGAATTTTATATAGCAATGTTTTATATTGTCATAATGGTAATGAAACTGGAAAACAAATTATAGCTACTAAAGAATATAAAGGTTTTCAGTTAATTAAGAAACTTATAAATAACGTCATAATAGGGCAAGACTTGAGCATTCTAGAATATAAAACAAAGTGCAACTTACACTGGGGCTTATAAAGGTCGTTATCTTGGTCATTCTGTGAGCAAACACATATCTAGCAACTCATGAAACATAATCAGAAGTAACATTTCAAATTCATTCTAGAGTACCATTTTTTTTTTTGTTGTTGCGTGGTTGCTTGACCCAAAACCTTTTAGAATTAGAAGGTTTTGTATTTGAATTTCTCATTCATCATTATAATCTAATTTTCAATTAACCAAATCAAATAAAAATGGGTCTTGGTTCGGTCTTTCCATCCATATTATACATAGTAAGGTATGCTAGACTAATATACTAATGATATACATGGGACTATATATATTTTTTCTTAATAAATTAAAATTTTGATTCAAGTAGTTAATATTACAGAAATGATGTGTAGCAAGACATTAGACTGCCCTGAATCTCCAACTACATGCAGTTTTAATACATACCTGTGAAAGGAGATGGATTGAAATGGTGTGCTGAAATAATCGTATATATTGAAGAAGTAAATATTATTTCCCTGCAGCAATTTAGCTGGCTTCTTAGCATCAAAAGCTAGCCTTCAAGTCGTTGCTCTTAAGTTCATCCGTCACATGAAAAGACTAAAAATACAAAAGAAGATGTAGTATAAAACTTGAAGTATTACTGTAACCCACCTCGGATAAGAAGGTTGGTTTCCGAAGGTCGGAGGAAAGGGAAGATAGTGTGTGGCCTTGATTGCGTGGATTAAATTCTTAAAAATTATCCAGGGTTTAAATACCAAGAGAAAGAGAAACAAACTTTGAGAATCAAATGATGGATAATAAAACTAACAAGCAAAATATGCTCTTTGGCTGGAGAGCATCCTCTAAATAGGGTGGATGAAGTCGATTAGCATGAAAGCAATGACAACTTTCGTAGCGACAAAATAATTGGGCGTGCTCTCATGGACTCATTATGTATCAAACTCTCAACACACAAGAAAGTATGAAAGGCATGGGAAAGAGACATATTCCTAATTGGATAAAATAGGCGAAAAGCTTAAGAGAAGTGATTGTTTGCCTCTGACTAAGTTTGACGAGCAGGCATACCCTTTTTTCATTTCGAATTTGGTGGTGACAATCTTTTCTTAGCTTTCCCCTTGCGTCACTTGTGATAAAAGAAGTAAAGAATAACTCATCAACAACTATCAATGAGTATCCCTGCAACCCAAAAACCAGCACACCATGCGCATTAATTGATGCAGTGTGTGTGAATGCATGATTAGTGTTCATAAAAATGTTGTTTGCAGACTAAGTAAGATTATATCGTTGACGTGTCAAAAAACATGTGAGGCAACATTATTTATGTGCTTCCTTAGTTCCCCAAATGCCAAATCTCCATTATCCCTCGAATCTTGGACTTGCAGTTTCCTCCATTAAATTTATACTAATTGGTATATCCATACTCTCCTACTGCTTTTAATTCTATATATGTATATAATACCATGCATATAATAATGCTGGTGTTTGGCTACATACTCTGCTATAGTGGCAACTCGGAATGGGATATTAAATATACAAAAAAATAAAATAAAATAAAAAGGAACCATTACGGGCTTTTTAACATGCAATCCTTATAATGGCTTCCATGGTCCGTAAAGAAAGTTACAAATTAATTCAAGTTTCAGTTTAATCACAATTTTTATTAATTTATGTTTTAAGTATAATAACAGTTTTGGAGTATAAATTAGATATCATCTTTGATAATGCATCCTTCGATCACATAACTAATGCGGTTTCATGAGTATGTTATAAAACAAATAAGTTGTATCAGATTTATGGGTTTTAAAAATTTGATTGTACAACGTACTTTTTGACTTTATAGAAACATTCCCAAAACAGCCAACTTTTACAAATGATTGGTATAGTAGGAATCATCATCATCATTATATATAGAGTATCTGTCTTAGAGCCAATTAATTATTGTATAATTGACTCTTTGTAATAATATTTATTGATCAATAAAAGACATTGTATTCTATATCGTATAAATCATATATGTATGTATTGATACCTTAGGATGGTAGAACTGTGACGAGGGTATTAAATGTTTCAAATCTTGATAATGAGAACCTTATTATTATATATGATGGCCATTATAGAAATGTCCGTAGCCCCAATATTATTCTGACCAACGGCACAGATAATATGGTAAGATTATCATAGTGTTGAACGACCATGTCGAAAGACAGTGACTGATCTCACTTGTCAAGGTTGTTTGCCGACAACTTGGTGTAGCACATGGGTGCTTGCTGTAGGCAAGTTCACTAGACTGACCCACTAGATGATTCCATATAGATAGTAACCCTAGTGTCTATGAAACAAATCTTCTAATAGATGGTAACCTTAGTGTCTATGGAATAAAACTTCTAATAAATGGTGGTACATATGATCCTTAGACTTGAGATAACAGGAGCGTTTTGTGCAATGATTGGTGTAGTTTGATACTAGCCCAATGTAGTTCTATTCAAAAGCTGTCAATACGGTAGTGATTGATTGCATCGAGGAGTGTATCAAGACTATAGTAGATCGACAGAGGATTCATCACTCCCGGGTACGGGAGAAGTTATCTCATTGCGTAATTCAGTAAATGACAATGACACTAAAGCTGTGACCATAGAGAGATTGAGTTGTTGCTTAATCCAATTTATTATTCCGGTCATCCAATAACTGAATACAAGCATATCAAGAGTAACTAAGGTTGACATTATTTCTATACCTCGGTCTCGATGAGATAACAGATAATGAATGGATTTGATTGCACGGTAACCATATCGTTGACAAGTAGCTATTTCGTTGAATCCGAAACTATCGGGTGGCCATGATGCCTTGCTAGGGGCCAATATTGATCTGTGTGTCACACACATACTACTCATTGCCGATATGATGAGGAGCCTACGGGTCACACATATAGAGGATAATTTAAGAATCAGTTTGTACAAATGATATTTTCGTCTTTTAGAACGAAAATGTATTTTGGTAATCTCACAGTGTAATTAGATTTGCTGAAGTTGTTGTCTAAATTTAATGTTAAATCAAATCAGTGAGATTATATTTAAATATATGTACGCATATGTTTAAATGAATTATTATTAATTAAATGTTAATACATTTTATTAATGTATTAATTAATTTTAATTATAATAATTAATTAAAATAAAATATGAAAAGGAGAGTGTTTGGACACATGGATTAATTTGGGTTGGAGCCCAATCTTATTCCTTGATGGAATAGGGTTTTGACACATGCACTAATATAGTGCATGTGTATTGAAGGAAATGAGAAAATTGATTATTAATTAAAACTCATTCATTGAAAAAGAGGTAGCCGTCTCTCCCTTTTCCCATGTTTGCCTTGCTCTTGAAGCCAATAGAGGATCTAGCAAATCCCTTTTTGGTTCTTCGGATTGTCTTCGTGTGGATCACCGTTCATTCGATTCTATGTTGAATCGGTAGCGAAGTAGATTCAGAGACATTTGAAAGAGCCTCTAAACGTGCATAAGATCTCTAATCCATGAATTGATCGTTTATACTTTCTATAGAATTTTGATTTAACATTTTAATTATATAATTTGTACCTGGATTTTGGCTTAAAAAGGAATCGATTTATCCTTTAATTTTTGATTTTCTGTTGCGTTGGGTAAATCGATTCTTAACATTATATATATATATATATATATAAACCATAAACAGATGTACACAAAATGTGAGAATATGGATTTGCACGTATTAAACATGTACTATGTCATCGGTTGTATGATAGTATGTACTTTGAAGTAAGCTATGCTTGGTAGAATGATACAGTGGCACATTCCCTGATTGAGCAGGCATGCATAAGAATTGGGAAGAGAGGACCAAAGGAAAGAGAATGACAGGGTAAGAGGGCACATTCCCTGATTGGAATTGCTTGAGGTGAATGCCATAGAGGGGACAACCAATTGTTTGTTTAATCATCAATGTTTCACTCTTCTTTAATCTGCTGGTCCACTTGAAAAGGAGAAAAAGTAAAGTTTAAGCAACTCGATTGATTTCTTCAAAAGATAGCCGATGCTTCACTTGGGAGCTGGAATAGGCTTCTCCACCCATTCTTATCTCCTTTCATTAGACTCTACTTGCAAATTTTCAACTATTCCTCTCTCTATTGATTTATTCTTTCTCCTTTCTGTTCTTCACCTCATCAAATTGCAAGGCCCTTGTGTCATCTTTTAAGCACTACAGATCCTATATATATAGTTAAAAATAGAATAATACTATATATACATTATTCTCATACAACATTTTTCATACAACATTATGTGGTAAGATATGATTGGGTGAAAGTTTAATGTTAACTTTAAATTAACCAATCATATTTTATCACATAATGTTGTATAAAAAATGTTGTATAAAAATGATGTATGTGTAATATTACTATTAAAAATATTGGATTATAAAGACCATTTGTAATTAATAGCTAGAATAGAAGTCCATTATCCCTTCCACCTTTGGGCTTTGAGACATTGATGGGTACAGAGAGACACTCTTATTAGGCCCCCTAAAAGGCCTAAACCAAGCCATACATTACCCATCTACACAATTTTTGGTCATTGACTTAGAAGATACAAGTGCAAGAGTGGTGGGCATTTGCCGATTTGAGTTAGGTTCGGCCAACTCGAACTGAACCGAACCGAATTAACAAGTGTTGAATCAAACAGATTTAGTTCGTGTTAATTCAGTTTGGGCCTATGGGGCCTCATTTCATTTTATTAAATTTATTATAATTTTTGTAAAAAAAAACCGTGACTAAATGTTTTTGGCTCTTTTTCAATTTTAATTAGTAAAAATCACCTATCAAGTTCAAAGCTTAAAAAGAAGTGAAAAACAATTTAAGTTTGTCATTGTAATAGTATATAAACATATTTTTTTACTTAAATTAGGGATTTGATTTTTTGTCAATACTTTATAAGCCGTATTTGTGTGCAGTAAAAACACATAAAACAATATAAGAATAATAGATACATGATTTGCACTTAATATTCTAACAACCTTAAAAATCTTTTCCCTGTACAATTATTTGATTTCTTATTCATACATCGATCCAACATTAAAATTATTATTTTATACAAATTTCTATTTAGATTTCATCTCGAATCTTATATACTTCTAGTTAGTGCAAATCACAACATCAACACAAAAATATCATAATGATTAAGTTAATCTTATCATAGGAAAGATAATCAGTTCAAATAGTATTATGATTTATTTCTGTTCAAAACATCCTGTACAGTTGCTTTACATGTAACTTGGGCAAGAAGTTACTTATCCCATAACCCATAAATTGTTGTCCCTAGCTAGGCCTTTGAGGATATGTCCGACATTTTCTTGCATCGAAAGTGCGACTAAATGAACTGAAACGTCAGGGTAGGTATGGAACAATAACCCCATTTTTTTAAAAACATGGACGTACACTATCCATCTATATAATGCTAAAGTAAATTGACTCAAGAGGAAACTATGGACGTTACGTGAAATATAAACATACGATAATACAATATATGCACACGATTGTAGTACTCTTAACTGATTTTAAAAGAAAAATAATAATAAAGCATTTTGAAAAATTGTTTTCTTCATAAATTGCACAAAACAAATGAGTTTTGCGGTCCTATTCTTTTATTAATTAGCTTTTGATGTAGGAGTTTCAAGGGAAAAACGTCATTTGATTGCACTTCTCCTTGATGTATCTATGTACATATATCAGATGTTGGCACAACAGCAGTTTTCAAAATTACTTTGCTTCACAAAGACCAGTGTCTGAGTCACAGAAACCATCCCGATCAAGCAGTTTCTGAGGTGGAGCACTAATTAGAGGAGAGGAGGGGCTACCATAAGCATTTCTTCGACTATTTCCACAACCTAAGCTTTTTCTGGTGCTTACCCCTGTAACGGGATTTGTTCCGCTTGCATACTTGCAAAGAGCCTGCAGGAAACAACCCAGGATTAGATGGAGCATATAAACAATTTGATCTAGATGATAACCACTCCTAGTTTGTATCAGATGGAAGATATGCCACAATCTTATGCGACAAACTGCAGAAATAATACTGATCGTCACGTACCAAATGAATAGCAAGGATTCTTACATCATCATACAGCAATATGAATTTTAATTCAAAATTCAAGTAGAGGATGTCATAATCTAGCACCACCACGTTTTTTTCCAAGACACATATTGCTTGGACTTAATTTGAAGTGAATCAACTAAGATGGAAACGTTAATGCTTTGCATATTCTTGAGCTATTTGTTGCTGGAAATAACCTTAGCTCAAGATGCAGATTAGACTTGGATAAATACTCGAGAATAATTGGTGACTAGAAATTAATGAACTTGACAACTCGCCTATTACATTGTTCAAAATGAATGAGCACTGCAATCAAACATCTTGGGTGATGCAAAATAAATAACTTAATTATGGTACCTGCTTCTGTGGAAGATCCAGAACAGCATCACTGAAATCAGCTCCATCAATAATAGCACCCCCAAGATCACTCCGAGTTAAAACTGTCCTAACCAGCACAGCATTTGTGAGATTAGCTTCATTAAGTACCTAAAGCCAAGGGGAGACTATATATTAGTCTTCATAATCTCAAGTCCTTGTAATACTAACATTTCCAAATAGAAACTAAAAGCTTTAAATGGGTTGGTTCGTATTTCCCTAAAAGAATATTATATAAATCCATTTTCCATTAATCATGTGTAAGGAATATATAGAAAGCTTTAACTAGCTTTACCATGCGATCCATCAGTGTGTCGCTTAAATCCGCACCTACAGAATGACAATAACAATGAGCAAACTATTGCCTCTTTCAATTAACAGACCAGAAGCAGAAGAATTAAAATTGCAGGTGATAGGAGAATAGGAGTTTCAGGGAAAATAATAATAATAATAATCACTAGGAAATACAAACTCAAAAGTTTAAAGGATCACTATAGAGAAATTGAGCCCTTGTTTAAAATTAATCAGCTAATATATTGGAGTAAATGACTTTTTCCAATCCAAATAATAGTTTAATGACACTTTCTTACTCACAAACTTTAAAAATACTAATTTATTATACAAATTTATGTTTTATTTCTAATTTCGACATCTTTGCGACCTCACACTATCACTATTCTCTTTCTCTATCATCACTCACCAAAACCCTTCAAACTCAACTCTTACCAACCTCGCCAATCGTTGGCAATCAAGTAATTAGGGTTTGTATAACTGTCCCTTTCAAATCAAATTCTAATCAATCCCAACTGTCAAAATCTAACATTCCACCATCAAAAGATTTATCGGCTTATCCTCTTCAAAAGCTCCAATAGTCTAGACCAAGTTTACTCTCTATTTACTGTCGGAATATAAATTTGGATAGTAAAATGGTATTTTAAAAATGTGTGAGTAAAAAAGTGTCATTAAGCCATTATTTAGGTGAGAAAAAAAACTCAATATATTGGGAAGAAAATAAGTAACAAATTTGAATTGGTGGTTCGATAATTGATGTAGAATAAGGAGTAAACACTGGACATACAGTAAAGATATAATTAATAATTACAATTAACTATTTTATTGTGATAGCAACGCCTTGCATTTTATACATAAAATGACAAAAGAAAATACATATTTAATAATTTTCAATAAAATGAAACTATCAACAATTTGTTTCTTTGCTTCCTTAACAAATCCCAACAATAAATTAAATAAATTAAAATTTCTTATATTAATTTTTTTTAAAAATAAAATTTTAAATTATTAAATATGATAGACCTCGAAAAGAAATTAAAGATAATTATTTTAAACGTTGGTTAATGAATTTTAAATTATTAAATAGTATTAGATTAACAGTTAAAACTTTGGTTATGAGTGATGGCTATTATCACCCACTTATTATCAATTATCATAGACCTCAATTAATTCCAATGTTATCCTTCATTATTTTTTAAGCCTCACTCCTTTTTTATTTTTTTTTATTATTTTTTTTATTTTAGCTTTCTCCCATTTCTACTACTCAGAACTCACCTACTCCAGAAAACTAATTCATTCAACAAATGAAAAGAAAAACAACAGGAAAAAAGGAAAAAGTGTAGAGGTATAAGTTTTACTAAAGTTAGTGCATTGTTTATTGAAATTTTCAGAGAGTATGTTTTCCTAATTGTTTGGTGATTTTGTTTATTTTTTATGATACGCTTCATTGATACAACCTTTAAGTAGTTTTTTTTACTAGTAGATGACTAAAAAAGTTTATTTAAAGCTATAATCATTTTTGAAATTTTTTCAAGATATTTGGTTATATTTCAAAAGTGTTTATAAGATTATAAATAAAACTATTTTAAGACTTTTTAAGCTTCTCCCATAAGCTATTTTTGGGATTATTTAAAATGCTGAAATTTAAAAAACATCCCTACTTTATCTTATAAATTTGACTTTATCTATTTTTATATATTAAAAGTCTTTTTAATAAATTAATATTAAAAAACTATTTTAGATTTCTCTAACCAAACAATTAACAATTTTTTCACAAAAACTATATACTCCACTAAATTCTACTTCAACGGCACTAAATGGACTCTATTGAGATTTGAGGATATTGGGTTCATAACTATTTGGAATAATTTAAAATATTATTTTCATTTGTGTTTCTAATGCGTTTTATTTTCATTAGTTTTTTTAGATGATGTTAGAAAATATATGGGTGTAACTGTGTGTGAGATAAAAGGAGGGTCTTGACTATAGATTCGACCGATCAACAAATCCCTCAAGCAATGTGCTGTCTCAATTTCTATGATAAAAACTTGTGACACATTACAAATTTGTCAGATAATTAAAGACCTTTTCCAGTAAGAGTTGTCAGGATAAAATAATAAATGTTTCTGTCCTCTATGTTTATCTGTAAAATAGATGTGGATGCAGTTTGCCAACTCAAGTGCAATGTCTCACATATAAAATATAAAGTCAACATTTGTAGGCAAAGAGTAATAAATGTAAAAAAAAAAAAAATGTGTATTAAATGAAAGCTTTTGGATTTCCCTATAAATAAAGAGAGTTCTCTTCTCGTTAAGGGAAGAGGCATTGTGTAAAATCTCTCTTGCACATTTTTTTCTCAAAAGATGAAGAATCTCATGTTTATCTTCTTCGCAAATTTGTTGATATTATACATTCTTATGATATTATGTTTTTGAGAAGAAACTGCAGTTGGGCCAGACAAAGATTGACTTTCTTGGTATTATGCATGTGAGAAACTATGATAGACGACCTACATGGAAGCCGATCAATATGACAATCAGTCAAATCTATGGTTAAGACCTTCCTCTTATCCCATACACCTTCTAACATCATCTAAAATGGCTAGTGAAAATAAAAAATGCATTAAAAACGTAAATGAAAATAATATGTGAGATCTTTTTGCTATTCTTATCATTATAAGTATATTACTACACCCTTGAAGTTGAAGGAAAGTTTAGTAGTATGAGAGATACATGAAAGAAATATGCAAGAGAAATATGCAAGAGAGATTTTACACAATGCGTCCTCCCCCAACGAGAAGAGAACTCTCTTTATTTAAGAGAAATCCAAAAGCTTTCATTTAATACACGTTTAATACAATAGCATGATATTTTTGCCTTTCTTATTTTTCTGTTTTTGTTTACATTTATTACTCCTTGCCTACAAATATTGACTTTATATTTTACAAAGGAGATATTGCACTTGAGTTGGCAAACTGTCATATAGTCTATATATTTTATGAATAAACATAAAGGACATAAACATTTATTATTTTGTCCTGCAACTCTGACTTAATCATTTGACAAGTTTGTAACGTGTCACAAGTCTTCATCATGGAAATCGAGACAATCCATTACTTGAATCTAATAAGTAGGGATTTGTCGAGAAGATGAATCTAGATAAGTATCCGGAGAAATATCTAGAGACTGAGTTGGCTACTTTGTAGAGGTACTTGATGCATGCATGTACTAGTGATGCTTGGATTTATGAAGATAATAATAACAGGACTATTGAAGCTCTTCTTCTTGAACAGTATCTAAATAGCATGGTCCATCATGTTTTCTCATAGAACACCACTCTATCAGATCCGATGGCTTATGTTTTTCACAGCATCAAGTCACATTTCATAGGTCCTATCCATATGATTTAGTCCATAATATGTTTGATAATCTTCTTGAGCTGAGGTCAATTCAGAAAGTCCTTTTTGAGAAAAATAAGACAATTCTAGATGAAATATGACTATCTTTTCATGATGATGCTCTCTGGGAACTTTTCCCTCCAGCCTACACTAAGAAATTACTCCAGGCCAAACAAACATGTATAAGCTTCATCACTGCTCAATTAAGTGCCACTTCAGATATACAAGACTATCCAGAATGGTGGTACATAGATTCTTAGCTAGATACTATTCAAGAAGAAGAGCTTCAACAATCCCGTGATTATTATCTTCATAAATCCAAGCGTCACCAGTATATGCATGCATCAAGTACCTCTACAAGGTAGCCAGCTCAGTCTCCAAACATGATTCTAGTTACTAATCCAGATTCATTTTCTCAACAAATCCCTACTGATTTCTAGTAACTCATCATGTGGACTCTCAATCCCATAATCTCATTATGCTGATTTCTCGTTTACAAAAACATATTGATCAGCTCCATCAAGAATTGATGCACATTGTCAGGCACTCTCATAGTCATTCAGCTCAATTTCTCCAGAAGGAAGCAGAAATGAAGTTGCTCAAAATTCAAATAACATCACTTCAACAGGTTCTGGACAGACAGGATTAGTAGAAATCTAGCGAACTTCCATCATCATCATTTACATTGGAGCCAAATCCTTTGACTTTTCACTAGCTTAGCTGCAACCTTCATTTTCACCTTTTCGAAAGATCAGTTAACCTTTGGTCTCTCCTTAGATGCCTTCTGGTGCAGTTCAAGGTGGAGCATTGGGAGTTTCTAGAGACTTAAATTTGATAATTGTTGTATCGTCATTGTTATCATGGCATAGTAGAGTTTGTAGAAACGATTAATTTGTGTTTCTAATACGCTTTTATTTTCACTAGCTTTTTTAGATGATGTTAGAAGGTATGTGGGTGTAAGTGTGTGTAGGATGAGAGGAGGACCTTAACCAAAGATTCGATTGATCATCATGTTAATCGACTTTCATGTAGGTTAGCTATCATAGTTTTCCAAATGCATAAACTCGATATTCTTCTAGCAGTATCTTTTGAGGTCTAGTAACTTTTTGGCAAACAGCTTATACAACCTATATTAGGTTACTATTTAGTAGTTAAACTAGAAAAAGTTAAAAATTGTTAAAATTACAATAGACAGGAATGCAAACGAGGCGAGGTGAGTCATTTTTGTAATCGTGAAATAATCTTGTAATCAAATTGAACCCTAACATCGTTCTGGGCAGTTTGAATCTTCCTCGCTGGTAAGTTGTATTTTCATTTTTTTAGGGATTCTCTGCTGTTCGTTCCTCCCAAAACTCACCAATGATTAACTTATTGTACCCTTTGTGTTGTTAATTATGTTTTTTGGTAGAAAAAGTTAGAGATTTTTCTTTATATTCAAGTTTTTATACGCTCCCTTTATGTACTTTTATTTCTTCAATTGATTGATTGATTGATGATAGAACTTATTTCTTGAGATTTATTTCATCACTGTTGAAGTTTCTGCCTTATTATAGATTACTTAAATGTAAAGAGGATTAGCTAAGAAATAACTTAAGTGTTTTTGTTTAATTGTGTATATTGCTTATTGGGCCATTGAATTTGCAGAGTAGAAACTAGGTTGGTGTTGGAATGTGGTTTTGGAAACTATTGATGCTTCTCCTACTGTAAGTTTCAAAAGACAGCCCAAAAATATCAAATGTGCTTGTTCTACTATTCCAATAAAGTATAAGAAATCAAAGATAAATGCATTTCGTGGGTTCCCGGAGGGGTGTGGACCACATAGAAGAATTGTCGCTGACACATTAAAAGGTGTAGTTCAGGAAGGGGTGCCATTCTTGGTGCATGATTCAGACCCAGAGGAGGTTTCAGTAACAGCATCAATGGAACATATGGAAGTAAGCATGCCTAAGACTCTAGATGCTGAAGGATTGTTCAGCCTATCGAACAGGTTAAAATATGAGTCTATTGAATTGTCAAAGAAAGTTGTGGTTGATATCTTGCCTGGAGTTTATCCAGCAGATAGAAGAATTTCGGCTACTAGATGCTTTCCTGAGGGTTGTGGGGCAAAGACTACCGAAGTTTGCAACAAAATCCCATGGAGAGCCATACCTAGTGAAGACAATGGGTGGGAACACCAAATATCTTTTGTGAAAGGCATGTCATTTGGAAAGACATGTAAGACTAATGCACACAAAAATAAAGCAATTTTGCGGATTATGCCCTGTGTTTATCCGCCACCTGCAAAAATTTGGGCTAACAGATGGTTTCCTAAGGGTTGTGGAAACGAGTCTCTGCAGTCTGGTAAGGAAGTTGCAAAGCAAGCCATTGCCAGTGCACCCAATGGCTCCATAAGCCAGTGTGGCAATATGAATCAATTGCAGGAAGAAGTCCCTCCTAACTTTGCACTTCCAGTACACAGGGTGATAGTGCTGGGATTGATGGCTGAACCAAAATGTCCATGGAGGCAAAAGGGAAAGAAAACCAAAATTAAATGTTGCTGGAGGTATAGGCAGAGATAAAAGGTATTAGCAGGACAGATAGATATGATCTATTAAGTAAATAAGAGGGTTTAGTGATCATTTATATGTAATCTTTACTACTAGATGACTGCCTTTCAGTGGATAGAAGAATAGTAAGTCTATTGATAGTTACCTGCCACTAGATCATCTTATAGTTCCTATTAGCAGTGTAATGCTCTGTGGTATACCTGTAAAATTAGCCTTATATGCAACTGCTTTCTCAAGGTATGCACCATTGAAGGTTGAACCACTGAAATCAGATTCTCTCATATCGGCAGCAGTGAAATTTGCTCTTCTGTTTCAGCCATTTAGATTGATTAAGTATACTAGAATGCATAGAAATACTTTTATTTATTAAATCTCATTAAAGGACAATATTGACCACTCAGCTCAAACCGAAGAAGCTCACATCTATATAGTGTTTTAAAATGTTTGGTAGATTAAATTTGGGAAACGGATGTTTTAAAAATCTCAGTTTTTCTTTTTCTTTCCTTTCTTTTTTTCCTTTGCTCCCCGTTTAAGTTACATTATGTTACGCTTACTTAGTGTCATGTGCTTATCTATCTTTAGAGAAGCAGAAAGATAGAACTTCATAATGCACTATTCAGTTTCTAAGATAGGAAATAAATTACATCCTCTTAAGATTAATATTATGTTGCATGATTAGTTGCCGGTGTTGTTTGTTTCATGAGGTTGAATTAAGGGGAAATTTGAGATTTTCATCATCAAATTAGCTTTTTCTCCTCTGTTATCCAAATTTGGATTAAAATTTCAGGCTATAGAATGCAAAGACAATTGAAAGAGATAAAGCATCACCTGAAATTTTCGTTCGCATGTACTGCTTTCCTGCATAGTAAGCAGAGGTAATTCAGTAGTCTGTTTAGAGTTGAAGAGTAGTGATGAAAAGAGAAATGAACCTGAGATCTGCAGAACCAAATTGGGCAGCTGATCCTATCCCGAATTCGCCACGAGTTTCTGCCTCATATTTATTTAGATCAGCAAGAGCAGAGATGTCGGAGCTACATGCAACAACTGCAGCTGCCAATGCAGTTGAAACAAAGGTTCTCCAGTTGCCGGGTTTTGCAGTGTAGGAACAATCTTCCTTTTCAAGTAAAAGTCAGTCATGTGGTAGAGTAGAAAGTAAATTGCATGAGAAAAGTTGTGTACTCACCAAGAATTAATCCTTCCTTTTCAGAATTGATATGACAAAATACCCGTAATGGCTTTGAGAAAGATTGTAGGTGATGGGGAGCCTTTGAAGAAGAAGAAGAAGAAGAAGAAGAAGAAGAAGAAAGGTTAAGAGATTTGACGGATAGTGGGGTAGTGGAAATGAATGCCATTGAATTTGAGGTAAGCTAAGGCTGTAAGATAAGGGTAGCAGTAGCCATGTGGAGGGAAGAAAAGTAATATATATATCCACTTATTTTGTGGGAAGATGATTGGTTGTTATGGGAACACATGGTACTTTGTTCTTTGGTTGATAGGATGCCATTTGTTATCCTTTTATGCAAAATGGTCTTCCAATCACGGAGTAAATCACATATTTTTAACTTTATCAAGTATTTTTACGAGGGTTTTTGAAAATATTTTATTTAACTTAAAATCTTGTTTAAAGAAAATAGACCTATTTTATATTTCTGTTGAGTAAACTTTTGTAGTAAGGGCATTCTAAGAAAACAAAAATAAGTCCTACGCAAACTGCAAACATTTATTAAAAAAGAAAATATAAATCTGAAATCAATGACGTAATATATGTGTTTATTCAGGCAAATGGTTCTTGTCCACAATTAGAAGCGCCGTTCATTCAGGGCCCTTACTCATTCAGCTTTATGAGCCAGGAGAAGCCCAAGATATGGGCAGATGACCATTTTCTAACCCTTTCAAAAGGGTGTTGTCATAAACTTAATTAGTAAATATGGGTACGGCAAAAAAAGGGTACAGGAATTATACGGGTATAATATGGTAAACGGTAAAAAATAAGTTTATAAAAATTTGGCCATAAAATTTGGATACGGGAAATATACGGTACGGGTATATACGGGTTTAATACGGTGCATTGTCAATAATACGTTTTGAAAAATACGGCAATATTAATCTTAGTTTTAACACTTTTATGGACTATCTGGTTAAAATCAACATAACATTTCAAATGCAAAATATTTAATTAACCAATAACATAAATACACAATATATAACTGATATTCAAATTATAGTCTCCAGACTCAAACACAATATTTAACCAAGATTCAACTATAGTGTCAAATTAAACACATAAGTCATAACAGAATTGGGTTATGAGATGTGATAATTTTAACGCTATTGATGAGTGATGAGCCCTCTTCTACTTTTCAGGCCTTGGGATAAGAGGGTTAAAATTAATCTAATACTATAATCAAACTATTTTGAAGTATATTTATTTATTGGTTAGAATTGGATTATATAGTATATTTATTTATTTGAATATAAGAAATAATTTTTATTTTACAATTAAATAATGGAGAGTCACATATTTTAATAGGCTGAATGACATTTTCTCAACCCAAAGTTTGGTGAATCTACATTTTCCCACCCATTATTAAAATTCTTATGTTAGTTTTAATGGTTAAAAGATATTCTTGTCAGTCTAGTCTGCACAAATTTTATTATAAAGTTAATATTACTTACAACCCTAAAATACAAATAGATGGTAATTACCTTCATTAACTTGGAAATTAGTCACTTAAACTCCTATCTTCAATTTCTATTAAAAATTATATTTTTATTAAAAATCNATTTTCAAAAAAAAAAAAAAAAAAAAAATTTTGGTTCAATTCAAAATCAGAAATAAGAAATATTAAGTTTGAGGGTTATAAAATGGTTGACACTTTGATTGGTGGTTGAAAAGAAGTGGAGATTGATGTGACTTTTAGTGTTTGCATGAGGAAAACCGAGTTCTCTTACTTTGTTTATCATATCCTTTTTCTTGGAGCCCACGATCCGAGCCTAACGTTACAAGCTTGTAAAGACCTTTTTGATTCTTAGCGATGTCTAGTCTACATTAGTGGAGAGTAGTTCGATATTTAGGCTTATGGAATCTACCACCAATTGATAGACTTTGCATTTCTGCATAAAATAATCTGGGAAGTTGGAATGTGGATTGAAATGGGGATCACCTACTTGGTGGACCGATAGAGGAAGACAGTCGATGTAGCGTATAACTTCTTGGAGTGTTGAACATTTTTCTGATAATAATTTTTCAACAACATTTGAGACTTGTGTAATTTCTAGGCAATTCTTGTTGAGTTTGAGTCTAAGTTTTTTGTTTGCTCATTTATCTTTTGTTTTGTTGTGTTATGTTTTGTGTTATGTTTGTTTGTTGTTTTTCTTTCTGTGAGTTTTGTACCTTATGCTCGGGGACGAGCATGTCTTTAGTTTGGGGGTATTTGATAATCCGTGGATCATACTGTTTTTATTCGACTTTTTAGTCGGATTTCAGATACTTCTTAGCTCATTTTGACCTGAATTGCTACTTAATTCTTTATATTTTTTGTTTCAGGCTAAAATGGACATTTTATGTAAATAATGAGCGAATTGGAGTTTTTGAACTCAGAAGTGAGCGGATCTCAGAAGTTAGGAAAGTTCTGAAGCAGAGTGGAGCATTATGAAGCTTGTTTCCATGAGGAGAGCATCGAAGATCGAAGATTCAAGCAAAGAAGCAAGCAGAGGGCAATTCTATAAATTCAAAATTTCACATGAAGGTTTGCCGCGGCGAAGCTTGTTCTTCATCGCGGCGAAGAGAGTTGCACACGAGAGTTTTATTTCACTTCGTCGCCGCGGCGAGAATCTTTCTTCGCCGCGGCAAAGTCTGCGAATTCCAAAACACATAGTTTCATTTTTAGGCATTTTCCTAGGTTTTTGGGCGAGGCATAAAAGCAAAACTTAGTCATTTTTTGTGGGGCATTCATTTTTAGTAAAGAGGAGCTATTTTCATTTTCTTAGGTTAAATTTGGGCGAACTTTGATTAAAACATGGTGAAGATTCGAGATTGAAACCAGTGGATTCGTTATTTTGGGAGATCTCTTGTCTTTTCTCTTATTTTCATTATGTTGAACATTGGGTTTTTCGTTTCTTTTGTTTGTGTTGTTGATTTAGCTATAAACTAACCCATTTTGGCTTAGGGTTTTGATGTAATTTGGAATTCCATGGGTTAAGTAATTGATTGTTATTATTTTCATATGATTTTGCTTTGATTGTGTGATTATTCTGAATGTATTGTTTTTATGTGATGAACATGATGAGATTGAGAAATGAATCGTGTTAAGCTCTTGGGTAATCACCATTGTAGTATTGAATGCTAGAGGTAGATTTGAGAATCAATGAAATAAATCTAGGATTCTTTGTGCTGAACGAGCTTTGAACTATTAGTCTTTATTTTGTTAGGTGCGGAAGTTTAATAGGGAAGAGTAAGGAAATATAGCCTGAGAAGTTATATTTTACACTTTAGAGAATTCGATTTACAATCAATGCATGTGAATATAGAATTAGTATAATCCTTAGGTTTAACCCATAGAGTCCGAATGAAGTCAAAACCCTATCCGTTGTTTTAAACTGATATTACCTTGTTTTTAACCTTGCTTTCATAATCTAGTTTTGAATATTTGGAAATTTTGTTTTAGTTTTAAGTTTAATTTTCTCCCTTTAATCCAAACAACTCGATTGCTGTAACTCGAAAATAGTAGAAAACTTAGTGCTTAGCAACCAATCCTCGTGGGAACGATACTCACTCATCACTTTATTACTTTTTGCAACTAGTGCACTTGCTATTTATGCATGTTGTATTAAACACGCATCAACTATATAACTAAGCACATGAATAGGATTGGGTGGGGAGTTTTATCAAACAAGTAGGTGGTGGCTTGAGGGGTAGTTGGGTGAGTTTTTTGTCGAACAGGTTTAGGGGCAAATCAAACACAATCTCCAATCAACTTCCAACCAAACAATCTCCAATCAAACAAACACAACCAAATCAACCAATATTGAAGAGAAACCTAGGTAGGGCAAGCCAAAAAAACAACAAGCAGCAGTGACAACGCGAAGGCTTTGTCACGGCGAGGTTACTGAGGTAGGAGGTGGGTGTGGAGATCGCGAGCTGAGGAAGGGAAGCAAGCAGATGAAATCAAAGTTTGCCCAATTTTTGTTAAACTTAAGTTTGCCTTTGGTTCTCGATTTTGGTCTTGGTTCCTAAAGTGGTGGAACCAGAAATGGAACGGCACATTACTGGTTCCACCACTTTAGGAACCAAAACCATCCCTATGAGGGTCGGTTTCGGGTAAGAATCAGAATCAGAATTGGAACCTTGGGTGCCCTCTGGCTTTGGTTCTACCCGGATTTCTTGCACACCCCTACTCATTGCCCCACCTCATTGATTTCATTTTACAAGTACAAATTGATTTCAAACTTTTCTTCATCTCTCTTATGCAGGGCACTTCTACCATGTTAAATCCAACTCTCCCCAAACACCACCATTCCAAGGTAGTTCATCACTCAAGAGTTACTATCTTGATAGCCTGGTAGAGAACATCTTATAAACCCACTAGCAATAACCATTTCACTCCCTTCCTAACTAAATTTCATTGATGTTGAAATAAACAACAACAAACAAAACACTTAACAATCTCATTCATTCGGATAACTTTAACCCAAATCATAACTCCATTAATATTTCAATCTCCCCTAGTTTCAATGCTTGTCTTTGCCTTCTATTTGTCATCACTTACGTTTAGCCATGTAATCATCCCCTTGTTTGTTTAACTTTTCAAATCTCTATTCTATTATCCTATCCTATTGTAAATGGTAAAAAACATGTTTGTTTTAATATTGACGGAATTCAATTCAAAATCCAATCCTATTTTATCCAACTCAAAACATACAATTACCTTTCACAATAAAAGTTTATAAATTAACAAAAACACATCCACCCACCCAAGCCATTGTTGGTCGCCAGCAACCATCATCGGCCACCAGCCGTGGTTGCTACCATCGCCAGCCGCTGGCGTTGGAATGACACATGATCGGCTGGATCTAGCCATTTTTGACTAGATACACCGTGGATCTAGTCGGAAAAGGCTACATTGATGCACAATCGGTTAGATCCAGCTGGTCGTACGCCATTCTGGTGACTGTCGGCCACTGTCCAGCGGTGATGGCTGGCTGTCGATAGTCGGTTTGGTAGTTGATGGTGTTTTTATTAATTTATAAACTTTTATTGGGGGGGGGGGGGGGGGTTAGCTAAATTAACAAATATAGGGGGTTAAAAATAATCTAAATATTTTCAGAAAATGTTTAAAAAAAATGTACCAAACAGATTCTAGAATCCTATTCTATTTGATTTAATCCTATCCTATCCTATTTA